TACGCGTATGATGTGATGTGTCAATAGAAAGACGTTTTACACACATATATATTTATATATGTAGCTATTTTTTGGGCCAAGAGTATGTGTCTGAGCCAGCTTGAGGTTGCCAAGTTAATGGCAACAAGTGTCTGACAAGGGCCCGAGCATGAGCTTGGCAATTTGCGCCTGATTTATGGCCGCAGACTGCCGAGGAACTCCTCTTCGTTATCTAAAGAGCATATCGATGTTCGCCGCACAGCGATGCTGCAAATCATATTCAAAAGCTGCCCCAAATCGGAAGTGGCCACCAACAGGTGTCCCTGGCCATGTTCTTGTGGCTGCTAATTTATGGCCAACTGCGGGGGGCTGGGGCGTTGGGTGCTGAGTAGTGAATGCTGGGTGCTGGGTGCCAAGCCCACGTTGCCACGCTGCAATTGATTAATGTCAGTGCTGCAAATTAAGCTCAACACACGATGCCCCTTGACTTGGCTCTTTATTTCTTTTTTTAACAAAAGTAAAAGCGACACACGTGTAAGCCACCTTGAAGAGGAAACGACTGAATGTGGATGTGTGCGATGCTTCATTAGCGCCGACAGTGGCACAAAGAACCTGCTGCCAGCTGGTGGTTCTGTGGTGACGTGAACTGTCACCGGCAGCAGCAGCCAAGGGAGCCCAGTGAATCCCAGGGAGCACAGCCCAAAAAACCAGCAGGTGGGCCAAAACACAGCCCTGTCATCAGCACAGATTGCCGAGAGAAACTATTTTCCCCTCATCTCGAACGGCGGACAGGCTAAAGCCACTGGAAAAGCTGCTCCAATAATTCCTTAGCTAACGATCTTTGTTACGGGGCCCACGACTAAATGCCGGGCTCAAGAATGCCAGCCTAGCCTTATCTATATGCACTGGGCTAAAAATGTGGTATTTTATGAGTTTGTTTGTACTTTTAAATTTGAGTTATATTCGTTGAAATGAACAAATGAATGTATAAATCATAAAATGTTTGTTGGGCATTTTTAAATAAGTAGTAGTAATGTAACTATGTTTACTAAAGAAACATTAATCGGATAAATATATTATTTTTGGAAAATGAAAATGCTTCAGAAAAACTTGGACCTGTACAAAATAAATTAAATGAATGACATCAAAAAAATATTCTATAAAAATGTACAAAATGTAAATGTTACCAAAAGAGTAAAAATCTGATAAAAAGCTTGAAAGAAAAGTAAGATCTAACTTTAGCGTTAATTCAAATTTGAGAATTCAGAACATAGAATGTAAATTAAGACATTGGTTACCCAATGTTCTAAATAAATACCTCATTGTCCGAGCATATTTGAAGTTAAATTAAGTCAAGGTATCTAAATTTCCCCATAAAAACAATAACCAATTAAAAATCTATAAAATGTAATTTATTTATTCTGAGAGTGTCGTCATGTTTACGACTTCAACAATCTAAGCTTTTATTGATCTTGATTATAAACAAGAAATAAAATCGTGACGGTAATAGAAAGGTAAAAATTTATGTTAATATATTATTTATGGGCGTGTCGATATCAATAACGATTATTTCAGTGAAAAGTGTGAATAAAGAAGTAAAAATATTAATGAATAAAATAAGGCAACTAATTAAGAACGTAAGCACTCTAATTTAGATGCCACTTTTTGCGGCAGTGTGTGTGGGGGAAAATCACGATTCTTCCTGAAGTTGTGGGGACCCAGAAATGGTCATGACAACGGTGCCCCGAGTATCTGGCCATGCGGCTATGTGGCTATCTGGCATCAGCAGATGCTGGTCCACTGCCCGCTTTGAGATGTTTAGCCAGCAGACAAATAAGTTGATGTTGATTGTTTTTGCCTGACTGCGGCACGTAAACGATACTGACAGTCAGTCCATGGGCCTGGATCTGGCCATGGATCCATCTGCCAGCCGGGCGAAACTTAATTTCTACATTTGCCGGCAGATAAAGGCTTCAGCTTCAGCTTCAGCTTCAGAGTGGGTAAACTGGTAGCCGCACAGTGGGCTAAGAGCGGCATTCAGCCCAGTCGCAGAGCACGCATCTCTTCCATTAGACGCTTTTAGAGATTGTTAAATTCCAATTAACAACTTTTTTTCTGCTGCCAGTTGGCCCGCTGATTGCCAGGGCATCTTCGGCCTGGAAGTTGGAAACCTGGAAGCTGCCTTTTAAGGCCAGCTTGAGACCAAGAACAAGTTGTTGTTTTGGCCAGCGTTAATTGAACCCGCACACACGCACTGGGCCATGTAAGCCATAAGTTGTCTAGTTTGTTTGTTTGTTTTGACCAACATTTGTCGGCGTGTGAGTCACGTTGCCGCGATGTTCCTGCATTGTAATGCTTTATGGGGTCCCCATAACCATTTATTTTAATTTTCCTGCATTTGCGCCGGCGGTCAGTTTGGCATGGCTATGTCTATTGGCCTTAACAATGACGTTGGCCGTGCGATCTCATCATCATCATCATCGCCGTTTGATCATCGTGCCCACTTCGAAAACTGGCCGCACGCGGGGTAATGAAAATTAATTGAAAAATTGATTGAAATTGTGCACTGAGCAGTTCAATCAGCGCTCGCTTGATTTTTGTTATTGTTTAGAAATGTCCGTCTTCTTGTTGTTCTCCTCTTCTTTTTTTTTGTGGCAACGAAAACTCTTGTGTTTGGAAAATTGCGATTTCAGTGCTCGCTGAACCCAAAATAGCCCATATTTGCCATTAATTTGAAAAATTTGTAATACAATAAACACCGATGAGAGCTCAAATCTATATCCGCTTTTCCTGTTATGTAACTGGGTTGTTGAAATTTTTCGGACAGCAAATTAATTTGGCAGCGGGCTTAAAAGGATGTATCAATCAATGGGCCAAAGCCGCAAATGATGGGAAATTGATAACAAATAGGGGAATCGTGAATCGAAATTGGCCAATATTCGATGGAGCTGAGAGCTTTGCCAAAAGTGATTTGATTTTGATTTCTGTTTACATGAACGTGTACATCACATAAATCAATCATAAATCGGCTTTATAAGCAGAGAGAATCAAATTTTTGATTAGCAAGAAATTAAACAAAGTGTTAGGACTCTGAAAATAAATAATTCGATTCAAATTACTTTTTTAATTAGGCATTAGAATGTTAATGTTTAATACTGGTTAAGGTTAGCTATTTTTGGCTTTGGTATATTTTTGATAATCGTTTCATGTGCTATGATGCTCTCCAGACTTTTTTGATCAAGATTCTATAAACATAAATAGAAAATGGGAAAACCAAAACAAATTCAATAAATTTGATAAATCTAAAATTATGAAATGAATTAAATTTGTTTTGGTTTTTGCTGCCTTTCTTAATGTGTGTTTAATAGCCTGAACATTATTTTTATCATCAAGTTAGCCCTTTCATTCACTGCAATATTAAATGCATTGTTTATGGTTTTTAAATAACACACTTAAGAAGCAGTTAGCGTCATTAGTCTTGGCCTTATCTATCCCCAGTTAGTATTTGCTCCAGTAGAAAAAGATACTTCCTGAATTACTAGCTCGAGAGCAGTGATTTATATCTCTTGAGAGTCATCCATTCACTGGGAAGCTCACAAATGCAACTGCAACCACCATGCACTTGTGTATTATCACTGACAATATTTACTCATTAGCCGCTGCATTTCGCTCACGTGGACATAAACAAAAGCAAAGTAAAAACAAAAACTGTGGAAAGAATAATATATATGAGATTTTAGCTAAATGCATTTTCTGGTCCAAAAAATATTCCACCAGCGAATCTTCTTCCCGGCTAAGAGATAGCGCTTCGCTGGAATTTATTGTTTAAAGTAAAAGCTAATGCAAACTGTAATGTACATACTACATATATATACACTGTACATATATATATATAAGTCTGTGTAACTTTGCTTAGTATCTATGACATCTAGGCTGCAATACGCGGGCGCCACGTAAACGGCTGATGGCTAATGGCAAATGGCTAACAGCAAATAGCGAATTTAGCCGGTGGCAAATTGTTTGCTTTCGGCCGCCAGGCTCAACTTGTTACAGTGACAAATGACAGTAGATATATCTTGATCATCGCACAATAATGATAGTGTCGCGCTGTGTGTCGAGCTATGTGAAATCATCGTCGATTTGCAGAATGTCGATTGCAGATTGCCAACAACTTTGCGTTCAACAATTAAAGACATTTCGGCCAGATCGCAAGATTTATGGCCTTACAACGTGCGTCAGCAATGAAGCTGGTAAAATCAAAAATCAAAAATCAAACGAACGAAGAGAAATGCTGGTCCATTGATTTATGCAGCTGCTATCCGAGATACGAAAGCCAAACAAAGGCCAATTCACACTGTGAATAGGCGGACCCAAAACTGAATCCTTTGAGCGTTTTTCACCCAATCAGACATTTGCATAATGGCCACGCACTGGGACCAAATCTTAAATATATTTCATTCATTCTTTGGGCCAACTACTAAAGGCATCAGTCATACAAAAGAGTCTGCAAGGCAGGTTCCGGTTTTCACATTCACACGTTTTTCTCTTTTCTTTGCTTTCTTTAGCAGGAAAACACTTTACTCTTGAAAAGGGGTGATGTTTATTAAGCTAAAAAATGTATAAAAAATAAAATGGGTTTTAAGGTGGGAAGTAAAGTTTGAATAACATTTTCTTTAAGTTCGTAGCACTTTGTAGAAGATATTTTCTTTTGATTTTCTAAACTTCTGAAATTTTACAATATGGAAGATAAATACTTGTTCTTTTTTAGAAAAATAGTGAGTTGGCTTGAGTTCCCTTTACTTTTAGTAAGTGTAACCCAAAGACCTACTGAAATCAACGCATTGTAGATCCCCTAGCACAATAGCCCGCTGGGTGCATGAAAAACGGCCAATGTAATATGATAAAATCCCACTACAAGTGTAAGCCGGAACGCACAGGCCTCATAATTTCCGGTTGCCAGCCCTGCGGCAGCGGCATGTGTGCGTTTTGAAATATTTGCCCCATTGTGAGTAGGCTCTTACCGTGAAGGAGAGGAGGCGGCTGGTACAAGGAATGGAATTCCTCTTAGGCAGCCCGCCGCATATCCTGCGGCGTTGCAGTGCTCGGCACCCGACTTTTCCTGGCTTTTCTCTCCCAGACCAGGAGATCCCGCTGCAAGCCAAGCGGCGCTCGTTGACGTTGTCAGCAGTTAATTGAATTAGTTGTTAATTTATGGCTATGTTTTCACTGGGAATTTGGTGAATGTGCGCCGGGACTATGATGGCAGCAAGAGGGAGAAAAGTGAAGCTTTGCCAAGGACTCCGGTTTGCTTTTGTGACACCAGCGGAGGCGTCGTCGGCGGCGGCGTTAGAGACTGAGACTTGACTTGATTAAACGCCTGCCACTTAAATTGGCATTTAAGCTACGCACTCGGGGAACTCTCACACAACAACAACAACAACACACGGCGACCGATGACAATGGCTTCGAGGAAATAATAATAAAAGAATAAGTAGAGCACACACACTTCTCAATGGCCGAGGGGGGAGGCTAAAACTTTTTATTGTACATCCATTTGGTTTTAATGAGTGATTCGCGCACACCGTTCGAAAATGGCTTTGATAAAAACGGATTCGGTTTCGGTTTCGGGTTCGGAACCGGCTCGGTTGCGCGAGGAGCGTTCCGAATACGCGGCAGTTGGACGGCAACTGAAATCCGCATGCCACACGGCTGGCAGCCGGCGTGGCTGCTGCTGCGACAACATGTTGCCGAGGGGCATGTTGCTGCTGCTGTTCCCGTCTCGACCCATTGGCAACATTGCGACTTGCTGTTCGGTCTCTTATCAGTGCACTCTGGCCAAAAAGCATTTGGGTGTGGTCGAATTTTTGGTCATAATGGACAAAAACATTTTTAATGATTTGTTATGTCTAGAAATAGATATTTTTTATTCTTTTGGTTTTAAGCAATTAAATAAAAACCAATATAACTTTGATAGACATTGATTATTTAAATGTTAATTTTTATTTATTAAAATAAAATGAAATAAAATAATATTTCCTAATATCTCCAAGCTTTAATAATTAAACACAAGTAGCATATAAAATAAAGGATTATATTATTATAATTTACTTTTGTAAAAATTTTTAAGAAAGACTTAAATTAAATAAGCTATTTATCTAACTAAGAAAAATTGTATAATTAATCACTTATTAGAAATTGTTATTAGTAAACAACAACAAAAATTAATAAAGTTATTTAATTTATTTAAGCAAAATAATGTTTGTCCCACGGTGACCTGGTCTCAAAGAGTTTTCCGAGCTTTGCCAGAGCTTTCCGCTGCGATGAACAGCTGCAGATTGGCCACTGGGTTGTTTTTGTTGCCAGCAACTTGTTGCTTGCCTTTATAGAGACTGATAAGGAGAAACGCTCTAAATCAACCGAATTTAAATGCAGATTATTGGACTCTGCCGCCTTTGATAACCATAAGTTAGCGCCGCTCGTAAAATCATAATCATAAAAACCATTAATCACTTTAACATCAGCTAAATTCTAATTTTAAACTAGATTATCAGCAATATAAATGTTTAGAAAAGGGGAAATTTCTTCAAAGCAAACTTTTTGTAAACACTTGTTGATATTCTGAAAGGGGATACGTTTTTTGACAGTATCCTGCTTTAAAGCTAATCAGTTTGGGTTCTGTCTTAGCTTTCCTTAGAAAGCTATAATAATTGGTAACTTCTATCAATCCCTTCAAAACTAAAAAGCTTTTATTAAAAAGTTCCTTTAAGTTCACAGGATGTAAAATCCAAAGCTTTGTAATAAATATTTTCACGAAAGTAGTTCCTAGAATTCCCAGACATTCCTTCAACTAAAACAGTTTTCAGTATGATGAGTGGCTCCTAACCAGCTGTGATATCACCCTAAATACTTAGATAAAGTTTAGCCGAGATTGGAATCGAATAGATATGTGAACCACTTGATAGATTGTCTAACACCCTGTTTGAACACCAAGATAGTCTGCCTTCTTGAGATAATATATCGCTTGTCTAGTGATTGTCACAGACAAATGTTGACAGCACGTCTGTTCTGATAAGTCGGTAATTATCTATAATTGATAGGGCAAACGATGCGAATAGAAATCGAAAGCCCCAAAAGTCCCAAAGACGATTCTATGGGCCAAATAAGTTCCCCGAGCGGATCTCTTTGATTGCTCGCCGCTAATGCTTGGACAAACACCACGCAAATCTTTCTTTAAAAGCTCATTTATATTGGCAAATTCTTTGTTTAGTTTACATTATCAAAGAATTTTTAACCGCTTAGGACACGACATAGGTGAAAGCAAAACCAGCCTCATTCTGGCCATAGACGTCATCACTGTTGAAGAGAACCATCAAAGGACCGGGATTGTTGCCTAGAAAAAGTGAGAAAGTTTTAAAACAAATATTAAAGTGTATCAGTGTTTATATATACTAATGTTTTGTATAATAATTAGAAGAAAACGCGGGAATAAATATCGAATAGTTTTCCGAGCAAGAACAAGATATTTGTTCACCAGTGTTAACTGAGCTTTTCCACACTCAAAAGCTCTTTCAAACTTACTCGATATGACCACATCCTTCTTTATGGAGCCACAGAAGTAGGTGGCGTGCTTGTGGCTATCCTCCAAGGTGGCCTGTGGCACCATGAGGAAATCAGCATCCAGATCATTGGTACTCTCACTGCTATAACAGCCCTCATCGGTCGTCAAGGTGGAGGCGGCAACCACGGCACCCACATTAAAGCCGTAGGCGCGAATGCTAAATAACAAAATTTAAGACATATTGTTAAATAATTAATATGAAAAAATGGAGTTTATAGCTTACGTACGTTAAGAGCCTTAGTATCAGTTTGACGACGGAAGCAGATGGCGTAGTTCATGCGGGATGGATAGATGCCATTGCCGTCGTTGTAGTTGAAGGACTTCACGGTGCCCTTGGACTGAGGGAAGTACTGCAGGCAACCAGGCGGGGCCACAAAGAAACCATCCTTGATGGTACTGGCACGACCCTCGATGGTGATTTCCTCCTCTTCAAAGTCCAGCGAGCGAACCGAAGCTCCGGCCGGGCACTCCAGCTGGGTGACGGTCATGTCCCAAGAGGCCGTGGGCAATCCAGAGGCTCCAGCACGATCGGCCAGGCTAACAACTAGATCCACCACGGAATCACCATCGGTGGCATTGAAGGGCACATAGATATGCTGCCAAACCTCCGTGCCGCAGAATTTCAATCCATTGACCTCGAAATAATCCCGGGTACACTCGGCATAGGTCAAACCAGAATCTTCCGTCTCTAACGTGGGTTGAGCCAATGTCATGGCCCAGTTGATACGCAATTGGCAAACGTACTTGCTGTACGCCTTGATGTGGTACTCGCATTCCCTTGGGGGATTCGAGGGATTCACTAGATTGATGTTCTTCGAGGAGGTGGAACCACCACAGGTTGGTGTGGCCACCGAGGCTGCTTGAATGGCCGTTACCGCCACCAGGAGGAGCAGGGTGCTAGCTATGCAGTTCTTCATTGTTCTGAGTCTCCACAGTGGTCAGCCGTCGGGTTTTTATGGCCCGCCGGCAATCTCACCTGTCACTCCTATCGCGTCCAATTGTCCAGGTTCCAGTGTGTCAACAACCATGATCGATTGGTTTTATCGCTCCAAGGGGGCACATTGCAGTCTGACGACAAAATCGCAAACATCTGGAGTCCCTCAGTTATAAGTTAACCAATTGGAAAACTATTTTAAGAGCTATATCAGTGGGAAAAAACATTGCACACTTTGTTAGGGGTCAATATGAAGAGTTTTGTTTGCATGAAGAAACAAGTTGTGGATAAAATCATTTCTATAATATTTAGATATTTAAGTATGAAATGTAAGGAAAGTCGTTAAATATATTCCCATTAACTACAAAAAACGGGCAAGAGGTAATTTTTAAAATTATTAACTTTCCAAATTCCCAAATTTTTCAAAAACATTGATTTTTTTGATATAACTTTGTACAACAACTTTACAAATGTTTCATTAAAAGAGTAATTATGTTTGTTGAGACTGCTCTAAAAATGTATTTATAGCCCAAAGTTGTTATTTATTTCTTATCGTAATCAAGGCCTCCCTGCACAATTGCAAAAGCCAAACAAAATTTCCTTATTTAATCCCCATAAAACCCATTGATTGGTTTTGATTATCAACAATTTGACAGCCGCCTTATCAGTTGAAAGCGAGAGAGTTTCTTGACAGCAATCAGTTGATAAGAACTTAAAACTTTTATGAATAGAAAGAACTCTTTACTAGAACTGCATTTATCTAAGTTGTGCCCCAATTTGTGTTGTGCAATTTAACTCTAATTGGGTTCTTGTCATTTTCACACACCCTTCAATATTTGTTGCCTCTTTTCACTTTTTGACATCACCAACCTCATTATCATTATCATCGTCATCATAGTGTCTATCAATCGACATCTTCATTTATGGCGATGATAATGAGATGGCTCGCATTCATCGTTCCTCGAAACTCCGAGGTGGGCAAACATAACCCAGTTTAGACAGATCTAAGTTAAGAGTAATGGACACTTCGTCGAGGTTCAATGACTTGATCGATCGGCGATCAGCAAACAACTTAATAGAGGCAACTAGCTTGGCTTGAATATTCATATCCACGGAGGTAAGTGACGAACCGAGCTTCTTACCAAATATTGACACGCCGTTTGCTTCTAACACGAAAATCTCATCACCGCATCGCTGCCAGCGCCGCTGTCTTTCGGATGGATTCTTCGGTCCAAGAAGTGCTATAAAAGCGCTGCGACCTCCAAGAGATCCACACAGTCGATGTGAAAGTGCGTGGGTGACGAGCTCTGGACTAACAACATAGGATTATGATTGGATATACGCTGCTTCTCCTGGGATTCTTAGCCTTTGCGCAGGCCCAACTGCTAAATGATACAAGTGGTCTTACCCTACCGGAACCTGGCCTTTGGCGCCAAGGCAGGAGGAGAAGTGTCCTGGCGGATAGCTGTACCACCAATAGCGGCACCACCGGCACCTGCCTTACTCGCTTCAAGTGCATGCGGCAATCGGGGACTGTCAATGGATATTGTGGCACCTATGGTGTTTGCTGTGAAAGTGAGTTGAAGAAAGTGATACAGAAAAATATGCCTGTGTGTGTGTGTGAACAAGAAAGTGGGTCAATATTATTCTACCTCGCTTTTGCTGGTTAAAGGTGGTTAAGCGCAATAGAAGAAATTACAATTCAAAGCTAGAAATTATGTTATCGATTATAAACTAAAGAAACAGATATAGCAATCTAACGGAACTGGCTTACACTTTGTTATTTTTAAAACAAAATTTTCTAAAATTTCTTTTAAGACTAGACAAAAGTTCTTACAATTTTAAATCTTTTTTGATATCTTACTTACTGTGGTTCAAATCGAGATTTTAATCAAAAGATATATCTAAGCCTATGATTAAATAAAAAATTTGCAACCCCTATAGCCAACCTTCAAGTGGGAGCATCGACGCGGCAAAAGCGAACCATAATCAAGAATCCTGCTACGATATCGAGCGATTTGAACACCTACACCATCGAGGCCTTTAGTAACAATGTGCAGCAGTTGCGAATCGATTTCGAGCAGTTTGTGATGCAACAACCGACGGATACAGATGGAGTTCTGGAGTGCCAGGACTATTTCGAGGCAGGTGGCTTCAAGTTGTGTGGCGTCAATGATGGCCAGCACCTGTATTTGCCTTTCAATGCGGGTGCTGGTGTTGATCAGGTGACCCTCACCTTTGGCATAACCTCCAGAGGAACTGCACCCGTTTGGAGGCTGATTGTGACTCAGCTGGAGGGGCCCCCCGCAAATAGTAAACGGCGTTCCAGTACTTCCAGTGGCTTGGGAACTTCCACCAATTCTCTGCAGGATCTGCGCGATATCTTTGCCACCCATCATGCTGACTATGAGCTGCTTGCTCCGCCGGGCTGCCAGCAGTACTTTACGGATCTAACGGGCACTATTCGCAGCTTTAACTATCAGACTTCAGTCGTCAGCAACTATATGCCCGATTTGAGCTACAACATATGTATTAAGTCATCGACCAGCGCCAGCATGATTGAGTGAGTAAAATGTACATTGTGATAATTTTTTTTCTATAGTTTGATCTTTACAACACACTTTGAAAAGCTAAACAAAACAAGTTTTTAGTTCAATCTCCTTCTAAAAAATGATTATCCTTTATAGTACAAGACTCTGTCATTAGCATAGATTTCATTCTGTGCATTTATGAAATGATTTCCTCTTAACAGATACTCCTTCAGCAAGTTCTCGATGTCAGTGCAGTCGGATACCACCGAGGGCTACGATGAGTTCTGCCATGCCACTGTCCACACGGCCGGCAGGCAGGAGGACTACTTGATGATACCGCAGGGCATTCTGGCCAAGAACATGGCCTACCAGCCCACCTACTATTGCGGCACCAACGACAACCTGCTGGTTTATGGTGAGTGTTTGGTTGGAAGCGTTTTTGGGTGGTAGACTAACCCTTGAAAACCGCTTGATATGTGGCTTCCATTTCACAGCCTCGCCACCCTACATGATGCACTTCTCCAGCGATGACCTAACTCTGAATCGGGATGTGGAGACCGGCTTCAGTATGACTTATCGCCTGAGGAACTCTCTTCTTTAAGCTTTTTACATACATATCTAATTTGATAGTTTCTTCTTGCCTAGGATTTAATAAACTCGAATGTCTTTAAGAGCAATGGCTTGGCTTTAAGCTTGTGTTTTTGGTATTCAGTTAATGAGCTTGTCAAATGTGCGGGGATTATGACAATTTAGGGTGGGGAGGGCTAGTAGGGGTATGCGGACTAAGAAGCAAACACACACAGACACACAATCATTCGCACTCGCAAAAAGTTGGACAAACGCATTAAGGCGCTTGTGCGGTCAGCGACACGATTATCCTTTTAGTTGCGTAATTAGTGTGATTAAAGTCAAGAGCTTCGATGAGGCTCCCGATGGGGTGCCAATGCCCCGCTATTGTTTGTACCCCCTCCTCCTATATGGCCATCTATAATAATGCTACCGAGAACCAGAGAGAAGCAAACAAATAGAAATGTGTATAAAATGCGCCATTGGCGGCTTTGAGAGCTGGGAATCGAACCGAGACGGAAGCCAACACTCCCCACTCCCCTGATTGCCTTTCACTTCGATAAGGTGCTAGATTTGGAAGCCCGCTAATTGACGGGCAGTTGAGGAAGAATGCTTCCAGCGATCATGGCTCATTTAACAGCGCCGGCTCCGAGAATCACTCTCACCCACTCACAGTCCCTCACTCTCTCGTTTCCTATAACCAATCTTCAATCCATGGTGTAAATTGTAAAATAAGCCAATCAGGCAGGCACATGCCCAGTCCCAACGGTCAATATGGGTGATTGGTCCGGGGGAGTCTCTTTATGGCTGGATTAGCGTGTTCGCACCTGCTGTGGGTAGCCCTATTACGCGGCGGTCTGGGGGCTGGGGATGGGAGCTTTCTAACAAGCTCAGATACCCCCATATTCAATGGTTGCCAAAAAAGGCGGGAGTAATAAATAAATAAATAGAACAACAAAAATTCCACAACTAGTAGTTGTTTATTTATGAGTAAGGCAGTTAAAAAATGGTTGCCAAAACATCAGAACTAACAATGATTAAGAGTAGTAGGTTTGGCGTAGTATTACCTTAGTTAGAACTGAAGTATCTGTGTTAAATTATTCTCATTCTAATGTGTGGATACTTATAGTATATACTTTTTATCATAGCAGTTAAGATAATATACAAAAATGCAAATTCCTTCTGAAGATACCGAAAGGAGAGTAATTTCTTAAGAAAATAGGCGTTTTCATTTTGTGCAGTCTTCATTCCAATCTTCCTTATAATATCCAACTGTAATAAATATTGCAAAATCTACAGAGTAAAGTATCTGGGTGTCGTTGTGCTCCTATTAATTTGTATCTTTACCTCTTTTTGGCGTAGGTGGCAAACAACAAGCCATAAAGCAAAGTTCCCGTGGAATGGCTTGCAGCGGCTTTCCCAGGTACAAACTGCTAAATGTTGCTCATAAATTAACGCCAAGCTAAACTGCTGAAGGTGGGGTGGAGAATGCAGGATGGCCAGGACCTCCCGAGGTGGCTAAGGCTAAATGCTGTGAGTGGCAAAAGATCGACGACAACCGGCAACTGGCAACGCGTCGCAGCTGCAGTGAAAATAACGAAAATGCATTTTAAAACCCCCGAAAGCAAACGAGGCGAAGGACAGAGCGAGAAAAGACCAGGAAAACATGGGAGGAACAGGGGGATATAGCTAAAGGAAAAGGGCAGCGTTTCACTGGACTGGCCAGTCTCGCTTTCTCTTTTTTTTTGGCTCTTTGTCTCACTCACTCAGCGTGTGTCTGTGTGTGTTTAAGTAATGATTTTGCAAAATATGCGCAAAAGTGCCAACACCAACACCCGGCAATATGGTGCCTTAAATGGAGTGTAACCGGAAGTGCGAATAGCGTGCAGCTGGTAACGACTAGTTGACCAAGATAAGAAGCCGGGCTTAAAGCGCTTAAAGCCATCTCGAATTGATGGCTAATAAGCAAAAAGGGAGAAACTCGCACACGAATACAAGCCAATTTGTCATGGTCAACAGGGGTGTGAAAATGCATGCCAAAGTGGCTCACACAGAGCTGCAATTTTTGGTTCGCGAAAGTGCAAATGGAAATTGTAACGGAGCATGTAAAGTGCACTGGGAAAAAAGTAGAGAGTCAGTGGATAGTCATTTTTGGTAGTTTTCAGAAAGAAAACTTATATGCAGGATATTATTAAAAACCTTAACCACTAAAAAAATAACAAAATTTAAGTTATGCGTATTAGTAATAAATGAGTTCTTCCTTTGAGTTCTTTTGATGTAAAAATTCCTTTTTAAGATGTAGAAAAAAGTGCAATGGCCCAAATATGTAAAAACATAAAGCATACTCTTAGGCACCGGACACATTTCACACATAAAATGTGCATCAGCATGTTTACGTACTCCGATGGAAATTCTCAATTAAACAAGTTTGTAATTTATTCTTATTTTATAAAAGTCAGGATTTGATGACCCATTTTAATGATATTTTTACGGTGCAGGGACAGCCCTTTCCCTTCCCATCTACCCTCTGTTCACAGCCGTACTGTTGTTGTCTTATCAACACATTGTCGCCAACATGCAGAGGCTCATGAAATGAAACGAAAATATTGAAGCTGTCCTTTGTGGCGGGCGGTGCCTTTATCGAGCGCCGCCCACCGAAATGTCCTGCTCTCATAACATTTCTAAAGACAAAAACTGTAAATTCGAGATACAATTGCAATGCAGAGCAGGCGAAAGAGAGGGTCATATGGGCAGAGAAAGAGATAGAGCACAAGAGGGGGGCGGGCGGGCTAAGAACCACTCACGTGTGCTCTGTGTGCGAATTTTTGTTGATTTTCATGGCATATTTTACACTGCCTGTAAATACACAGACACACGCGCGTATGTGTACGTGGGTGCAGCAAAGAAATAAAATTGAAATGAAATATGCAAACATGAAAAATATGCGCCAGCCCGAAAATATGCTACGAAAAAATTGCCAGTTCACAGAGGACCCCAAACGCATACACCAGCACGAATACGAATGCAGTAGCAGATGCACACCCACACTAGTATAGTCGTTCATGCACCCATACACTTGCACTGGCCACTCGGCTGCGATTTATTGCATTATCAATAAAGTGAATAAATTTTGAGGTTATTGTGGCGTGATAACGGCAATTTTTGTACTTGCTCTTGTTTCTCCAGCATTCCAACGTACATCTGTCTGTCGCTGTGTGTATGTGTATGCTAGTGGGTGGGCGTTTGTATCTGTGTGCGAGCAGAAGGCGTGGCGTCGTGGAATGGTAATACTGTGTAAATGGCGCTGTTAATTAAAAAATCACACCCATGCGTATCGCCGTTGCCAACAATTAACTGATTAAATGCTTAAGCCGCTTGGCTTAAAGACTTCCCATTCAAATTGAAAGGATATAGTAGGGATTTCAGCAAAGGTTCGCGATTGCAAAACAGTTTACTTGAATGGAAAATGGGAGTATTAAAAGAATGCGTAATATATGGGAACCGCGGTAAAAACTTTTGTGTGAGAAAATAACATAGACATTATTAGGAAATACATTTTTCTTTGAAGAAAATTACTTTAACATGGACTAGATAAAGTTGATATAGAATAATGTTTAAATAATATAAAATATTTTTATACTTTTGATGGTTTTCAAATATTTGAAACCGTTGCTAAATGATATCTCTAATTTCGCTAACCAAGTTTATTTATATATCATTATTCGTATGATTTTGTAGAATATGGTTTAAGCATATTTATTTCAAAATGAAGCAAATTCAGAGTTGATTTACTTAATAAGTATAAATTAGTTGCTGTATTTAAATCAGAGTTTTTGCTTACACGGAAATACATTTCAAATTAGAAATAAGATCGAGAGAAATTCAAAATCCAAGTCATTGATGTTTTATGAGTTTCACTTTTAGGAGGTGCTTGAGCGGGGTTATTATTTAAAGGCAATAAATATTCACATTCAATATTTGGGTAACAGGAAGATTATTTTAATATTCAAATTTAATGTTTTTAATAGATGTTATCTTATGTGTGTTTTAGTGATTTGTCCCCGTGCAACATTTTCTTCACTCTCCAATGAATGAATATCATAAATACCTGTCAACCAGTGGACATCTCAATTTCTCCCTTAATTGTTCTTTAATTAGCGGCTAATAATCGACCACTTTGACACCAAGAACTGATGATCAAAGCCTTTGTTTACCAAAATGGGCAAATACCGACATGGTCATTTGGTTTTTTCTTATTATTTGACGCACCTCGAGTTCTTCTTTGTTTACATTCCCACACAGAGTCCAGAATCCAAGAATGAGTCAGGGAAACCACACACGCTACTTACTGGCCAGCTAATTCATGCGGAAATGCAAATCCAAATTCAAAACCAAATCCGAAATCCAGAATCTTGGAGTCTGAGTCCGTATGCAAATCATAACGGCGACACGGTAACTGTTTGAACTATGAATTTCTCGCCGTTTGTGTTTATGGAAATTTCGGGAATTATGCAAAATGCTGCCGACTCACGCACACACCCATTGAAACACACAAAACCCATTTGTATTCTAACACCTTTTGTGTGTGCGTGGGCGGTTGTTTGGCTCTGCTGTATGAGTTATAATATGTTAATCGCGCTACCGTTTGTGCATGTTTGCATATTGAATAATTGCCGTTATGTGTGGGCGTTCTCGTGGGCCTTTTGTTTGCAAATGGTCAATAGGTTCCATTATGGAAAAATTGGCGGACACATCAAACTGTCAACAGATCAAACAACGGCGACACTTTCAACATTAGCTATTCGATGATCTGGTGAAAGGGGTACCTATACATGTACGTCTAATACTCTTTGTTGGTGGGTGGTGGTTGACATCGATTATGACAATGACGATGGTGATGGTGATGGTGACTACAAAATGGGGGCATTATGAGGCATAACTCCACACCCTCTAACACCATCCAGCAGCCGAGCTGCGTTTTAATAAATTTGTAAACAGATTTGTTAATTTCAGCATAAAATTTTGATGAGAAATCAGCCATATTGTGCACGGCATTCTCCTGGAGAAAGCTTCTATCTCACTCTCTATATGAATGTGTC